AGACCCCAGCCCCGCACCCCTGCCAGCCCCATCCCCACCTCCTTGATGTGTAGGAAGTCTTTGGGCTCGAAGCAGATGGCCATGCCCTGCACCGGCATGTCGTCGCTGGCGGACGGGTTGTAGCCGACGTTCGTCCTCACGGCGAACGCCACCGGCTTCGTCTGTCAACAGGAGAGAGCTCAGCATCTCCCCCCCTCCCACCCCAAACTGTGGAGACACCACCCCCCGCCCCAGCAAAAGCCAGTCCCCACCTCGGGCCAGGCAGGTGCCGGTACCGGTACCGGTGCGACCGGCTGAGCAGCGGGGCTGGCACGGCACAGCCACTCACTGGAGCCTGAGTTGGGGACACTGTGGCCACAACAACCCGGGAGCTTAACGAGGGGCTCATCAGCCAATTGCCCTCGTGTGATGGGTGCTCAGCCAAGGCGAGAACTCAGGCATCCGGGCTCCCAGTTCCACCCAGTAGACCCCACTGCCTTCCCAATGCCACCCAGTGATCCTGGGGCCACCATTTCAGGGGACGGGATGCCGGGGGGATGGAGAGCAGGGGCAGCACGGAGGGGACGGGGGGGGGTCAGCCCCTTCCCGCAGCGGGTCCCATCCTGCCGGGGCAGGGGGTGCGGAGGGGCCGGGTGGGTGGCAGGGGTACCTGCCTGCACCCGAGGAGGCGAGGGCAGAAGGTGATGGGGGGGTCTTCCAGCCCAGCCTTCCCACCTTGGCTTTCTCCAGCTGTGCCATGGCCTGGCGCTCAGCCTCCTTGCGCAGTGCCTCCCGGTCCTCCTCCAGCGACACGTCCGAGTCCGAGGGGCGGCTGGTGTAGGACTCGGCCGAGCCCTGGGAGAGAAAGGCAGAGGGGTCAGCCCACACCGTCCTCCCCCAAAACGGGGAACCCAGCCCCACGCCCGACCCCGTGGCCGTCTCCTCCCGTAGGACCCTCTCACTAGGGCTGGTGCCCATCACCGTGGCCTCTGGGCACGCTGGGGAGAAACCATCCCCAAAAGTTGCCTCCTCCCCAAGCAGGGGCAAATCCTGCCCGGTGGCATCCCGGCGGGGTTACGGCAGGCCGAGGGCCGGCGCAGCTGTTCCCACCGCTCCGGCAGGGAACGTGATACCGATCCGGCGCCTGCTCCCGTCCCGCTGCTGCGGGGCCGGGAAGGCAACGAGGGACCCCCCCCCTGCACTGTGCCTGCCTGTTGCCCCCCCCCGGTTGTCCCCCACTCGAGGGAAGGCCAGCAGGGACAGCGCTGTGTCCCCCCCACTCCGAAGGGGTCCCATGGCAATGGGGAAAGGGTGCTGTGGGGTGACTCGGGGTCACCCCAGGACAAGGCTGGAGCTGGGGTGGGATTGGAGACCCCCCCCTGCTCACCCCCCAGCCCCTGGGGCCAGAGGCAGTGGGGAGACCCATGGGATCCCCCAGCCCCAGGGCAGTGGGTGCCGTGGGGGACGGTGAAGGCACCGACCGCCCTGGGCGGGCTACTTCCCCCCCCCCAGCCCCTCTATAATCCCCTAAACCCCACCAGAGCCCCCCCAGGGTTGTGGGAGCCCCCATCCCCGCTTTGCCCTGTCCTTTCCAAACATCGGGGAGGTGGGGGCCGCTCTCCTTTGCACAGACCCCGAACACCCTGGCCATGGGGCCGCGGCCCCCCCCGGGCCCCCCCCCCCCCCCAAAAGCCACGGGGCAGAGACCAGCTGCCCCAGTTCCCCCTGCCGCTGCTGGGGGTCTGGCCCTTCCTGAGCCCCCCCAGCCCCACGGCGAGACTGGAGAGGTCTTTG